TCTCACATTTGCAAATAATTAAGTGCCTGGCAAGGCAATTTAAATCGCGTGCTGTCCGAATGCATTAAGGCACATCAAAACAGAGTTGGCGACATCAACTTACCCCAACTCCGTTTTCCTACCATTTTCCTCCACTTATTAACAGCGCCGTAATCTGAATGTGAAATCAAGTCGCAATGCACAACCCACAATATCAGTTGACAACTGTCGACGGTCGTCTGGCAGGCATTTAAACGCTTGTCAAAATTATATAAACTGCTGTCAGAAGTGCCGGCGGGAACTAGGGAACTTTTTCCGCCATGCTCTTCTTTAAAGTGCAGAAGTGCACTGGAATAAAATTACAATTGATAATTTGTAAAAAAAAAAAAGGTGTATATCACATATTATACAATGCGAATTGAGTGAAGGTTGTTTGCAAACGGCTAATCAAATGCGGCTAGCCTCAATTGTTCAACCATTGGGAAAATAATATCTGAAATGTTTTAGTTTCTAGCAAGAATCATAGTTATACGTTTTAGAAAACTGTTTTTCTGAGTGCAAAGTAGAAGTCCTGGCCCTGCAGTCGGAACTCGACGTTTCTGTGGCAATTAATGCGAATTTCGACATCATAATTAAAGCGCATGGTGACGACGCTGGGTCTCGTCTTGCGACCGGGTCCATTATATTTAATGAGTGAGCCAACGGAACTGAACCAGAGGAACCGACCAGACAGACCCAACACAACTCTACCCAACCCAATCCAATCCAACGAGACCAGCAGAAGTAGAGCGGCCCAGGCCAGACCCGACCAGACCGGTCCCAGACCCATTCATTCACTTTTGATATTTGCATATTTTCACATGTCATTCGGCTTTTTGGCATTTCTTTTCCGCCTTTTGTGCAATGCAATTGCAGTCGTTGTCTGAGGCGAGATCTTCATGCGGGATTTTGAAGTGGTGAAGGGGAGGAGCAGCAGGATGAGGAGGGGATATCCCCACCCTGAATCGCATAATTAGCCGCAGACTTTTGCCGCTTGACAAACTCTTTGAAGAGCTTCTCCGACCGCAGACACGTGTGCATCTCTTTCAGGGATTTCGCCTTTTCATTTGGCTTATTTATTGTTGGATGTCTTAATTTATGAACAACTGTCACTGCCGCTGAGACTTTCCATCGGTTTGTTGGCGATGGCGAAAAGATCGCGAGAAGACAAGCGGATCCATTCATTGTGCCCTCATGACTAAGCTCCTTGGATTCCATCCGTGATTCATCCCGTCGTATCCCAAAGTATTGTTACCCAATCGCGATAAGCTTTATCTCCGGCATTTGGCATTCAAAATTTATGACTCGCAAAATGCTTTTGGCCTCGGCCAAGTTCGTCGCTCTGCCCTCGGCCCTCAAGTGCAATCAAATAATTGTAATCTCTTTCAAATTGCAGTTAAGTTTTACTTCCACTTCTGAAACCGACCCACTTTGCTCCCACTCCCACTCCCACTTGATTATGCTGATGAGCACGTAGCTGCAGCCCAGAAATGCACTTCTGGTTGCCCCAAAAGAAGAGTGCTAGGCAAACTCGGTTTTTCGGCAATCTTAATTAGAGTAGATAATGCTGATGGCTCTGGGCACTTTTCCGGTTCGGATTTATTTGCCCAATTCGATTATAAGTAAGTGTTGGTCAGCGAACCGCGGGGCAAAGTGCTGCCAAAAGATTGCTTAATTTAAAAAGTTCGCAAAGTGCACTTTTTGGAAAGCAGTTGTTAAAAGCGTGACACTTGGGTTAATTTCACTTATATATAGAAATCTATAAAATTGCCTTGTATCTACTTTACTGGCTTAAAATTTATTACATTATAATAGTTGGGTCCAAAAGACTTAAAAGATCTTTGGAAAAAAAATTATTTCTTTTGTTTTAAGAACAATATTTAGCTTTGTCTTATCAAAGCTTTTAGTATGAAATACGAAAATTTGAAGAACTTAACATGTTAACAATGCAATGGTACAATGTTGCAAGCTTCCATTTCCGATTGCACTTCGCAACACTAGAAGATTTTCCGGAGAAGTGATCCGACGTGTTTTGGGCCGGCAGCGGAATGCACTTGATAAATTGTTTACTTTGAAATTAATTACTCCACTCATTGTTTTCTTGGCCGACGGAAGTTGCAGCCATTGTCCGCCAGGGGGCGCTGTGTTAGCCACGTTAGCCGCACTCCTATGTGCTGCATAAATCAAGTTTGCAGCGCCGTTAGCAGCACTTTCAACACTTTTGTGGCCCTCACTAGCCGCCTCTCTTTTATTGCCCACCTATTTTTTGTTCGCCCGCCGATCGTGGCAATAAAATTGCATTTAATTACACGAATGCAGTGGAAAAAAGGGGAGTGAAGTTGGATGAAAGGGGGGATTGCACAAGGGGGTTGTGGGGATGTTGGGATGCCGAGTGGGGTTGGCCATTGGGAAATTGCCCCTGGTTTGGAGCCCGGCCAGCTCTTCATTGTTGCTCGCATTTTTGAGCTCATTAAACCGGCTGCAATTGTTGCCATGCGTTGCGTGAGTGCTGCAGTTTCTGCCCTTTTGTTGGCCGGCAATCAATTTGCAGTCTGCAGTCTACGGCTCGCAAAAGTTGCAGAAATGCAAAAATGAAATTATATTTGTGGAGCTCCGGTGCATCATTAAAATGCATCGACCTGCGAACAAACAAGACGAACACCTCTTGGCATAAAGTTTACCCGTCTTTTGTGTGGAGTTTCTGAAATCTCCCAGCGTTTTTAGACTAGAGTTGGAGTGCTTAACACTTATAATCAGGCTATGGTATGCATGAGTTTTACTTCGTTCTGCAAAACAAACTCTCAACGGAACTACGAAGCAATTTAAAATTTTTGTAGAGTAAAGAGAAATTAAAACAATAGGTAAGCAACAGGTCAACAGAAATGATGTAGCTAAAACTAAGTAAAAAAAAAAAACCAATTTTATTTTGCTGTCGTTGTTTAAAAACTAAAGTTTTTTAGATTTAAATTAAAACAATGATTTATTTTTAAGTAGCTTTGGTTTAAATTTAAATGTAAAGCTTTTCCAATCCATACGTCCATCTCCGAGAATTCCAAATACACCGCCCACCCTTTTTGTCAACTTTAGACCATGTTTTGTTTGGCTGATTGACTTACGCATGCAATTTCCATGTTTTCCCTTAACGCCTCAATGATTTTCAACAATGGCGGGAGAAGTTTTGCCAAGATGGCGTGTGGCAGGCCCATAAAATAGCAAAAACAGCTAAAACAGCCCTGCCTATGGAGCTTATAAAGAGCCAAGCACACACAAACAATGCGACTTTTGCTCGGGAATGCGCTAAATGAATGCAATAAACCAACTAGAAGGGTCCCCAGTCATTGTTTTATGGCCACGCTCCGCTGGATTCTAGGGGAAACTTTGATGCCCCGTCTCGTTTTAGCCAGCTGTCTTGCTCTTTGTCCATCTCTTTTTGACCTCTGGGTCTCCGATCGCCGGCAAATGGCAACAATCAGCGTCTGAGAATTGCAACTGCAACAGCAAAAGCAACTTCAACTCCAACTTGTCCGATTTTCTTGCTTTCGTGGAGCGGGGAGCAATCAACGCATTGTCGACAGGTGGAAAACTTCATGGCCAATGAGTTGCTGTTACCGTGTTTTAACCCTTCCATATACTCTTTCAGATGGAATTTAGGCATACGAATGAGAAGTCGTTTTCTACTAAAGGAAAGTTTATAAGATAAGAAGTGACAAAAGAAGTGTACCTTTTGAGATATTGATATTCGTATAAGAAATAATTCATACGATGTTGATTTTGATTATTTAATGATTTAATTTAGGGATAACAAACTTAAAATGGTTTCAACATTTTTATGAGTAATGTTATCTGACAATAAGGGTATAAGAACTTCTGGGGGCCAATACAATCCCGCTTTCTCGTTTTATTCCGTGGCTGTTGTATTTTGCATGGCCCGAAGCTGATTTTGCTGCTGCCACAGACTGACAGCAACAGTTTCGTTTCGACTCACTCTTTTTGCCCCGTGTGTTGACGTGGCCAGTAATTTGTGTTGTTGCTGTTTGTTGGTTGGTTGGCTGAAGGGAAACGCCAGCAGCAACAACAATGGCCACGAACACACATGCAATTTTGTGCATTAAAATTTCACACTGAATTCGCTTGCTTGTTTGTTTGTTTGTTTGTTTGTTGGCTTGGTTCGGTTGGGTTGGTCGAATGCTTTTTTGGCTTTTCGGGTTTTGGGTCCCTTGCCTTTTTGTTTCCGACGCGGAGAGCTCCTTTTAGCTTGCTGCATTTACTGTTTAATTTGGCATGCATTTTGCTGCTGCTGCCACTTCCCCCTTTCCTTCATTTTAACCCAATGTCGCCTGCCACAAGCAGCTGGCAACAAAATGGCGATAGTGTCCTCCAACCGCTTCGCCTTACTCATTGCACCTGGCCGAAACCAAGGACGTCATCATCATCGTCATCGTCGCCTGTCAACAGCCACGTTTTTTGGCCTTCGTGGGCGTGGTCTTAAAAGCCAGGGCAAAAACGGGTTAAAGAGGCAGAGGGCCCATTTAATTTGCCACAAATTTAATTAGGGCAACTCAGCTGCAGAAAACCTAGATGACGTGGGAATCAGACATGTTTAACCTTTCCTAAAGCTACAAAAAGGGCATCACAAATAAAAACATTTTATTCTGAGTAAGAAAATTTCTCTCGCTAGGCAAACTACAAAGAACAAATAGTCGACAGTTTTTTTCATAATTTATAAATATTTTATTTATTTAAATGAATATATATTTCATAAATTGTAAAAGCCATTTTATTTATTTATGTAGCATTTATATTTTTTAATCAATTGTTTGTTGTAAGTGTATTAAAGCTTCCCGACTTATTCTCAGATTAGCTTGGATTTAAGTGAAATTGCTATATGCAGCAATAAAACGATAAGCTCCGCTTTGATAAGTATTGAAATAAAGTCGCTTGATCCCGCCAATCGTCAGTTCGTATTAATTCATTCGATCGTAATGAACTCAACTGCTGGAGTGGCCGTGATCGCATTTTTTCTGGTGCTTTGCAAGCCGGGATTTGCGAGACTTTTGGAACCAAATTGTGGCATAAACGTCGATGGTCCCAGTTATGGGACAAGAATTATCGGTGGCAGCGATGCTCACATTACTGCCCATCCATGGATGGCCTTTCTGCACTTCAATTCTAAAGTTTTCTGCGGTGGAACTCTAATCACTCGTCGTCAGTATATACGGAATGAATCCTTTTGTGGCTTTTTAAATACATTTTATCGCAGAATTCGTCCTGACTGCCGCCCATTGTATTGAGGGGGTACCACAATTGTAAGTACAAAAAATATGTAGATGATTGAATATTAAATAAGATTTATTCCTAGTACTGTTCGACTTGGAGGAACGGATTTAAGTCCCAGCAGTAGTGGGTTGATGTGTGAACTGCCAGCTGAGGATTACTTGGTGGAACACGCCATCAAACACAAATACTTTACAGCTGATATCGGTTTAAACGATATCGGAATTCTCCGACTAGGCAAACTAGTGACTTACAACGGTAGGTTCAAACCAACAATATAGCTTATATAAACAAGATCTCTGGAAACCATACATTATATATAAGTATGGTTTAAAATTAAATATTTTTGAAGTATTAAAAAGTTTTCTTTCATTTTTTTCAGTTCATATTAGGCCGATCTGTATTGTCCTGGACCCAGCGATGGAATTGCTGGTCCGGGACAATATATCGCTCGTGGCCACCGGTTGGGGCAAAACGGACTCGGGAAGGGTGGCCGCCCGCCTCCAGGAGGCCCCCATCCTGGTGGTGGACAGGGACATCTGCACCGAGCGGTACAAGTTCCCGCTCAGCGAAAACCAAATCTGCGCCGGCGGAAAAGAGACGAACACTTGCTTGGGCGACTCCGGCGGACCGCTGGGCGGCATTGTGAATGTCTACGGAACGCTGCGGTTTGTCCAGTACGGAATCACCAGTTATGGAGACAGGGAGTGCAGGGCTCCGAGTACCTACACTGATGTGACCAGGTACTACGAGTGGATTGAATTGGTGGTCGACAAATATAGCAGATAAAGAAATCTATAAGATAACCCTTTTTGGTTCTTCAATTTTTACCAAGTTGTTGAATAAAAGTCGCTTCAAAAGTCGGTAAAAAATTTATTTTTTTCTTAAAGAGCATACGGTTTATTTTCAGGGCAAATATTTCCTAGTCATAACCAACCATTTAATGTGAACATGACTAAATAATTTCTTCGAACAAATATATATGTCGTTCATGCCTTAATCACTTTCGAGTTAATGTAATATGATTAGCTCCTGATAAGTGGATTTCAAGGAATATGCATGTACAAGTTCCTCGTAATTGAGATTCTAATAAAAGTATGGCTATTATGGTGCCTATAAAAATCATAGGATCGACGGATCAGAAAACAGTTGCAAAATGAATATCGTTGCGTTTGGAATAACTTGCCTGCTACTCCCGCTTTTGGGATCAGGTCAATTCCTTGACATGTCCTGTGGAATCCGAGCTCCAAGTCCCTCCTCTCTCAGTAGGGTTCGGAATGGAACGGTCGCCGGAAGGACATCGAGTCCCTGGATGGTCCTGCTTCACACAACTTCAGGCAGATTCATTTGCGGCGGAACTCTTATCACTCACCGTAAGTTAATAAAGATCTATATATGTTTCCTCCAGCTCATAATATTTTACATCTTTTTTAGGCCTTGTACTAACTGCTGCCCAGTGCGTATTACCCAATGCTTATCTGTAAGTAACAAAATTAATTGTTTATGGATTTTAGTAGAAGGTACATATTTTCTTGTCTAACAGAGTAGCTCGTCTGGGGGAGTATGATAGAGAGGACTACGGGAATCGGACGGAGGCTAATGTGGAAAAGGCCTTCAAGCACCGATACTTCGATCCCGTCAAGATGGTCAACGATATAGCCATTCTTCGGCTGGCCAAAAGAGTGGAGTACACAGGTGGGCTTAATGAAAAAAATTTGTTTAACAATTCTAATTTTTGATAACATTATATCCGGCACAGATAAAATAAGGCCCATTTGCATCGTGACAAGCCCCAGATGGAGGAACTACATCAATACCCTGACTCCGCTGACTGGAACAGGATGGGGAGCAACTGAGACTGCGTTTGACAGCGCCAAACTCATGACTGTGGATCTGAATCGTCAGCGTCCAGAAATCTGTCGACGCTATACAACTCAAACAATTACGAATACTCAGTTCTGCGCGGGAAATTCGGCGAGCAATTTGTGCAACGGCGACTCCGGCGGTCCTGTTGGATCCCTAATCGAATACCAAAAGACCCAACGATTCATCCAAGTAGGAATCGCCAGTTATACCAACAGAGAATGTGCCAAGGCCAGCGTTTTTACGGATGTCCTGAGCTTTGCCGACTGGATCATTAATGTGCAGAAATCTAAATCATAAGAACCAGATATCCACTTCCAGGTTCGAATTCTGCAAAGGACATCTCATTATTCTGGTGCCATAGGAAAAATGTGCTTCTCCTTTTGTAATAAATATGCCGAAATAAAAACACTCAACAATCAGAGATAACTTGCGATCATTTTATTACTTAGTTGCCTTTGGAATATCTATATATAAAGTATATATCAAATTAACTTTGAGTGCCGCATACTCTAGTATTTCCAGAACAATTAGCAAATTGTCTGTAAAAGACTTACATATAATATTACATTTGAACTTGATTTTATATACAAAGTTCTTAGGAAAAGTAAACTGCACTCTTTACATAATGTGCCAGTATTGTTTTTAAGAAAAAATGTTAGGATCACTGAATTTATAATATGTAAATTAAAAACTATACCTACAACATTTATGCTCAAGCTGATAATCCAGGCTTAAAGTTTCATTCATTAATGTTAATGTTTCACGGATGTGACGAGGTGGAAAAATATATCAGATTAAGATATCAATAACATTCCCCTTTTTTTTTTTTTTTAATTTTTACCAATGTTTAATAAATGTAACTTCGAAAATCAATTATAAAATACATTTCTTTTTCTCAAAGAATGTGTAATTAATACATATTTGGTTTGGTCATAAGCTTAAATTGCATTAGAAAAACTGATAATTTTATTTGCAGAATAAATATGTACTACTCATTACCTACCAGTTAATTTGAACACGACTAAACATTTTCTTCGAACAAATATATTTTTTTTTATGTCTTAATCTCTATCGAATTGCAATATTATGTATGTACATGAAGCGCCTGATAAGTTGATTTCCAGGAATATGTATACACAAGTTCCTCGTAATTGAGTTTCTGATAAGCCAGAGTGTGGTGCTTTTTAAAATCAAAGAAACTACAGATCAGTTGCAAAATGTATACCGCTGTGTTCGGGATAACTTGCCTGCTACTCCCGCTTTTGGGATCAGGTCAATTCATCGATATGTCCTGTGGAATCCGAGCTCCAGATCCATCTCTCATGAGGGTTCAGAATGGAACTGTAGCCAGAATGACTTCAAGTCCGTGGATGGTGTTTCTTCACTCAACTGCAGGCAGATTCGTTTGCGGCGGAACCCTTATCACTCATCGTTAGTTAACAAAGATCTCAATATTATACATATATTTCTTACAGCTCATAATATTTCACACTTTTTTCAGGCCTTGTACTAACTGCTGCCCATTGCTTGTTTCCCGGTACCGAGCTGTAAGTTTAGAAACGAATAGTTTACTGATTTTTAAAATAAAATACATACGTATATTTCTTATCCAACAGAATAGCTCGTCTGGGGGAATATGATAGGGAGGACTTCGAGCAGTGCCACGGAAGCTACTGCCTCTTTCGAACGGAGGCTAATGTGGAAAGGGCCTTCAAGCACCGATACTACGATCCTGGCACGATGGTCAACGATATAGCCATTCTTCGGCTAGCCAAAAGAGTGGAATACACAGGTGAGCTCATTAAAAGGAAAATATTGTACATAATTTTCCTTTTCTGATAACATTATTTCTTTGAACAGATAGCATTAGGCCCATTTGCATTGTGTGGACCACCAGGTGGAGGAACTACATCAATTCCCTGACTCCGCTGACTGGAACAGGATGGGGAGTCACTGAATCCGCGAATGACAGCGCAAAACTCAATACTGTGGACCTAAATCGCCAGCCTCCGGAGATCTGCCGACTCTATACAACTCGGACAATTACGAATACTCAGTTCTGCGCCGGAAATTGGGCGAGCAATTTGTGCAACGGCGACTCTGGCGGTCCGGTTGGAGCCTTAATTCAATTTCAAAAAACCCAACGATTCATCCAAGTAGGAATCGCCAGCTATACCAACAAAGCATGCTCCAAGGCCAGTGTTTTTACGGATGTCCTGAGCTTTGTTGACTGGATCTTAAAGGTGCAAACATATCATTCATAGGAACCTGCTCTGGTTCTTATGAATTTGGTACCAGAAAAGAAATAAAAGCTGTTCATTTTCTAATAAATCTGGGTAAAAATATTGGCATACAAATGCCAAACCGCACCTATTTATTAAAAATATATAGAATAAACCTTCAAAGCAACACTCTCTAGTATTTATGCAATTTAACTTCCCCAGAACAATTAAGAACGCAAATCGTTGGGAACCCTGACAAAGTCGTCATACAATTGCTCGTCGTGCATTTTTTATGCAAATTCTCCGTTTTTTATCTAAAGAAAAATGCGACAAACCCGCAGTCAACACTTTTCACGATCAGTGGGCCATATAAAAGGAGTCCTCCCTTACGAAGTCCAGAGTGAATGCATTACTCTAATTAATTCTTGATATATGGCGGAGTGACTGTGGCCAAAACGAGGCCACAAACCTGCAATGGCCGTAAAAAGGAGACGCCGGCAATAAAAGAAACCAAAGCGCAAAAATAAAGGGGAAAAACGGTGACTTAAAAAAAGTAATATCTACATTTGCTCCAGTTTTTTGTGAACGTTGCTACTGCTCGCTGTAAATTCGCGGAGGCAATTAAAATTTAGCAGGCTTTAAGTTCTGCTTCTCCTGTGGCAGCAACAGTGACAGATGCCGCGGTAAAACTTTAATGACAAAAAGGGAAAAATATGAAAAAAGCGCCAGGAAGGAGGGGTAGGGGCAGGGGGAAGCTGTGGAGCAGCGAAAGTGAACAGTTGCCAGCGTCTGGGCGGTGTATCCTGCCAAGGATTCTGCATCTTCAGCCTTAATATCTTTTTTGTCATGCCACATGTGTCCCTGTGCACTGGAAGTAAAAATGTTTATAAATATTATTATGCCATTGATTTAATACATTAAGTTCAAAAGCAAAGTAAACTAAAATTTAATTAAATGCTATTGTAGCTTTGTATTATAATTTGAAAGCAAATCCTACATTTACTTGTAAGTTTTACTAAAAAAATGTACTAGAAAGTTTTATTTCAACAATAACACGCCAACGAAATACAATTTTTCGAAAAATGGTTTTCAATTGTTGTTAATCTTCTTATGTTTATTTTTTTAACTATATAATTATAATAATTCTCTTTAAGAAATTTTTGTAAGTGCATTTATGCCCATGTGGCAACGCATCTCCGACAGGAAACCATTCGCAGCCACCGCCAAAATGTGGCAACAACGCCAGAGACAACAGAGGATGAAGGAAGCTTACTTCCTATTCCTATATGTATTCCCCCTATATCCACCCCCTCCTGGTCCTGCTGGTGCTCCTGCTACTCCGCTAACCAACTGCTAAACGCACTGATAACTTTCCCACACACATTCTACATACTGCATGCTGCATGCCACATTCTGCTGAAGCGAAAGTGCGCGGAAGTAATAAAACATGCGGGAGGAACGGCGGAGGCTGCAACTTTTGCGACGCTTGTTGCACTCGCTATTGCAATTGTCTGGAAAGTGTTGCGACATTGGTGGCAAGGGGGTGGTCTACGAGGGGGTGGAGCAGGAAGGGCGACCGGTGGGTGGCAGCATTTGTGCTTAAGTGCCGCAATATTTGTAGAGCAGCGACTATTTTCCATGTTATTTATGTCTGCGGTTAGACCACCACATGGAACCTAATTTATAACTATATGTTTAAGTGCCACCCAAAATTATAGTCAACTTTCTAAATGTGTGTCAATGAAATTTTATCTTACTAATTTTGAAATCTAATAAAGGGATACAATTTAAAAGTTAATTAATATTTTGTATATTTTCCATTAATTAACTATATTTTTACCATGATTATGTATTTTATTATGGCATAATAAAAGTATTCAATCAATCATGTATTCAAATAAAATTTGAAACTGAAATGAAGCTTATAAATTCTTCTTAAAGTTAAAAGCATAAATCACACATCCCTTATGGCAAATCCCTTCAATCTGAATAATTTAAGCCGACTGAATTTGGCAACTTTCAGACGATAATTACCTCATGAGCCAACTGCATCAGGTGCTACTCAGCAAATGATTTGTGTTGCCAAAAAAAAAAAAAGAAAAAGTAAGATGAAGCCATCGAAAGTGAAGTTAATGGCTGGCCGCAAGAGTCAGGATACACCTACTGGCGAGTCAAAGGAGGAGGAGGTTCTTGAACAACAGCTGCCACACAGGCAACCCGGGCACCTCGACTCCGATCCGATCCGATCTCGATCTAATTTAGGCGTATTAGTTGCCCCGCAACAAAGGGCGAATTCAGACAAAGACAAAGACAATACTTAGACGGACCTTTTGTGCCTCAACTCAACTCGTCTCGTTTCGTTTCGTTATGTTTCGAGGATCCTTGAGCACTTCGATAAGGCGCTGCTAATGGCTTCATTAGGTTGTGCAGGTTCAACTGAACTGAAGGTTCATCTTGAGGTTCTCATCTGTTTGCCACATGCCGGGAGGCAAAAACACTGCGATCCCCGCATCTCTATGAGGGCTTTGAAGTAACCGCAGCCGAAGATCCTTCGCCTTGCGTCTGTTTAGATACAATTCGATGATTACAATTCGTTTCGTGAAATTGCTCAAGAGGCAGCAACTAATATTTTGGCATCACATGGAAAAAAAATAAGGAGAAATGAAAAGAGATTTCCTTTTAGAAAAGTATTCCCATAAAAAGTGTCTGACGATACAAATCAAATTGCCAACTCATAAAGTCCCATGGATGGAAACGAAACATTTCATTTCACTAAGTTTTTATTACGCATTTCGATTTCCTTTGCTCCTTGAACTGAAATGCCCAGGAAATTCACACCTTTTGGCCACAACAAGGCGCAGGGCCCGATCTTTTCATTTTATGGCCGCCTCACTCGACTTTTATGGCCAGTTTTCTTATGAAAAGAAATTAAAATTATATAACCACATATTCCAAATATATAAATACATTATCCAATAAAGATATGACCCAGCGATGGAATCATTTAAAGAAAAATGCACAAATTGTGTTTTTGATTTGAGTGAAACGAATTCCTCGACAAGTGTCATTAAAATCGTTCTCCTCTACACCGAACTATATAGACGAAGATATAGATATTTAGGAGTGTATTTGTATGCAAAAGCAGTGTCCAGGGCCTCGTAAAGAATCGGCTGAAGTGCACATAAAAATTGTAATCACTTGGAGTACTTACACGCATAAGAAATGTTTCTGTGTTTTTCTATTGTTTGAAAGGTTCCTCCCATTGTTTCAATGTTACTTGATTAGACAGAAGACTCGTTAAAACTGCTCATGAACTTGAATCGTTAAATCGTATATCGGAGCAGATATCTGAGGCTATATCATTGCTTTTCATAAAGTTATGATTGTTGGGTTATAAAAGTGGAAATTTAACACGAAGTGAATTAATAGGAAAAGTGCATAACGGTTTTAAGAGCAGCAGATGTTAGAAAATGAACATAGCTCAAGTTTTTAAGAGTGTTTAATCAACTTAATATTATAGATCAAAATATTTTGTACTATTCATTACTTCTCTTATAAAAATAAGCTGCAGTAACCCCACAGTATTGTATATTTTCCATCAAACAATCCAATACATCCTCAGACCACATTGTTAACAAATGTTTTTTTACAAGTTCACACAAACTGTTCACACTTCAGAGCAGAATCCAGTGAATTCCTAGCAACAAAAAGGGAAAAGGTGTTAGAAATCAAAGAACTTGGCGCCGCCTTCGAGAACCAACTTCCAACTGAGTGGCATGTGTTGGCCACATACATAATTTTCGTAGGGACGCCTTTTATGGTCTTTAATTGCATTTCGATGGCCAATAAAAGAGATTCACATACAGCCAAATTAACGACGGGAAGTGCCAACAAAGCATACAAAGCTGGAACATAATTAGCGTCTTTCATGCTCAATCTCCTAGAAAGTCGGAGCCTTTGAAGACTTTAAGGCCAGGTGGCGCCTACATATCAACCATATAGTTCCTATAGAAGGAGATAGAAGGGGTTATAAAACAAAACCTGGGTCAGAATAACAATTCCAACCATTTTTGCATTGCAAATCCCAGTCGATTAATTTGTAATTTCAATCTCTGCTGCATTTGTGTAATGCGTAAAATGCAAAATTCAGTTTTGGTTGAAAATTATAAAAATTATATTTCCACATTTTGCAATGCACCCGGGTCTATGCCTAATTGAATATTTATCAAATGGTTAGTCTGGGGGCCTGTTTATGTAAATAATCGCGGCAAATGAGCAACGAATGCTCGGCATTAAATGAATAAATTGTTGATTTCGATTGGGGAATTTCCGGCGAAGGGGATTTGGAGTGTGGAATCGGTCTGTAAACTCTCGATGACAATTCGAGGCTTATATTGATCGGGGGATGCGTATCACTGGCCCTATCCATTATCTCTTCCAGCTGCTGCACATGGATAAACATCGCAATTAGCCGTAAATGGTAATTGTTTTCCCGATAAGTTACCTGGCTTTCTATTCGACGAGTTCCACCAACTCCCCTCCTCGATTACCGAGCTCATTAAAGTGCCAGTCTATAATGGTTACCATCTCTCGCGGCCTGCGCCTCCTTAAGCGATTTTACATAAGTGTATGTCCCGACAAGGCTCCAATGCTCGTTGGCTAAGTGTCTGGGTTTGGTTGCCTCGGCCACTTGAAAGTAATTAAGAATCCTTTAACATATTTTCTTATCGCGTTAAATGGCCTGATGATAGAATGGCATGACAAACATGGTTGGCGTTTAGCAGGGATCGTTTGGGAGGAGTTAACTAAGAGTTATGTTACTTAATCTAAAAACATCTAATTAATTACATTATAAAGGCTTGCTCTTTCTGCTTTCCATTGCCAAGTTAGTTGGCCAGTTTATTTGGATCACTTCTACCTACTTTCTTTCCAAACGACCAGCACCTGCCTGAATTATCGCAACCTCTTAACTGCTGTGTTTACCTTGACCAACCCACACGTTTTCCTTCCCTACCAGGAATCCCTCTTACAAACAACGCCCCTTGTCGTGGCCAACAGCTCAAGTGCTCA